GGGTTGATCCATGTTATATCACGTGTCACAATTTCCTTTCTTTTTTTAAGATTTATTTTTATCAGAAAGTCATACTTACAGAGTGAAGGAGAGAAAGATCTTCCATCCAGTGGTTCACTCCCCAAGCAGCCACAATGGCTGGAGCTGAGCTGATCCAAAACCAGGAGCTTCTTTCGGGTCTCCCATGGATGCAGGGTCCCAAGGCTTTGGGCTGTCCTCAGTTGCTTTCTCAGGCCACAAGCAGGAAGCTGGATGGGAAGCCTGGCCATGGGGATTAGAACCGGTGTCCATATGGGATCCCGGTGTGTGCAAAGTGAGGACTTTAGCCACTTGGCTACCGTGCCGGGTCCCCCACTTTTTTTAAGATTTATTTCTTATTGGATAGACAGAGGTCTTCTATCTTCTGATTTGCTTCCCAAATGGCCTCAGAGTGCCTGAGTTTGAGTCCCACCCCTGGCTCATGATTCCAGCTTCCTCCTCACACAGGCTCTGGAAAGCAGCTGATGGCTCAAGGACTGGCTGCCTGCTGGCTCCGTAAAAGTCGCAGGTGGAGTTTCTGGCTCACAGATTTAGCCTAGCCTAGCCCAGCACAGCCCTGCCCTTTGCAGGTGTTTGGAGAGTGACTCAGCACAGCGGAGAAGTGATTCTTGAGGAAGAGATTTGATCTTCATGGCAAATCAGTTGAACATGAACCAGCTTCTACAGGCAGCAGCAGAGCAGAACTCAGCCCGTGTCCAGATGAAACCTGGTGCCATCTTGGCGCATCCTGCTTCACAGGCCTCTTTTCGTTTGTGAAACTATTCTTGCCATGCTTGCCTTGGATACTGTGATGCCATGAAAAACGTCGGTGGGATCCGAGCCTGGCAGAGTTAGAGAACAGAACGGCTCACGCTGTGAAGGGAGCCAGGGGCAGGCACCTGAGTGTGCTGCCTAAAAGCTGGACTCTGAAGTGAGGCTTCCTGGCCCAGGGTCCCAACTCTGCCCGGTTGCCCTCCACTTGCTACCGTGAGGATTCTGCAGTAGCACCAGGAAGGCACCGAGTACAGTGCCTGGCAGCTGCCCCACAGCTTGCTGTGACTGTCACCCCTCTGTTCGCCTGGGTCAGAGGGGACATGACTCCCACCCCACTCGACTCTGGCTCACACTGCCCCGTGGGCCAAGTGCTTTATTTGTGGTTCCTGAGGACCCCCCCCTACACCTTCCCCTCAAAGGCCACTGGGAAATTTGGGCCATTTCCCTCTACCCTGCCATGATGTCCTACTGACACCACATGATGTGCTTGTCTGTTCAACCAGTCGACTCCAACGACAGCCTGTACGGGGGAGACTCCAAGTTCCTAGCTGAGAACAACAAGCTGTGTGAGACGGTGATGGCCCAGATCCTGGAGCACCTCAAGACCCTGGCCAAGGAGGAGGTAGGTGCCCTCCCCCTCTGCTACCCCCACTTGTTCTGAAACTTTCTAGGCTTTGTTCGAGTGACACGTTCATGTGTAAGCCATTCACCCCATGCCCTAGGGCCTGAGCTCCTGCCATTTGCTCTGCCTGGCCTGCACCTGCCCTGGGCTTCCCCCAGCCATGCCTTCCTGGTCATTCGGATAACCACCGTTGTACCCCCTATGAGATCAATTTTATTCTAGACTATTACGCATCAATCAGAAACAAAATCTTAGAAGTACCTCCCAGGACAGGCCTTCCCAGATGCCATTATCTCCAGCACACCTCGTGCATGCAGCACTTAGTCACAGTGGTCCACAATGTTGTGTGTGTCAGCTTGTCTGTGGCTGGTTCCTTCCCACTCAGCTTCCTACGGAAGCCCCATGGGAGCAGGCATCTCCTGGCTCTCCAAGACTAGCCTGGGTGGGCGCAGCATGCATAACAGACAGGCACAAGGAGCCTGGGGGATGAAGGTGCTGGTCGTTGAAAAGGAGAGGCTCAGAGCCCCAGGGCTCCCCTGATTACGGCCAACCCAGCTGCCCCAGCCGCCCCAGCCCTTCGCGTATGACTGTCAGGAGGTAGCCTGTTTCTCCGGTGATGTGCATTCGGTGTAGTGTTGCGATGTCTGTGACAGTTCCTGTACACTTTACAGACCAGGGAGCTGAATCCTAGAGTGGCAGCGGTTGGTCGACTGTGGTCAAGGTGACTCTTTAGAACCCCCATTTATCTACAAAATGGGCTCTTAGGTGTCACATCTTTTGCATTTCCAGAGTGGGTTTTTCCTAGTCTCCTTATGCACAGTTGATTAGTTGATTTCAAGGTTGTTTCCAAACAGGACAACCCAATTCACTACCAGGTTCCTTTCCCAAGTCTGTGGTGACCTTGGTTTGCACTTGGTGTAGTTTTAGCCTGAGTGTGGGCCCTCGTCAAGCTGGGCTGAGACAGCCATTTGTGCTGACATGGGTGTGGCTCTATTCTGTGGTTCACGGCTGGTGGCTTCCTGGACAAGGTGAAGTTGGGGGAGGTGATTGCACACTAAGAGTTAAGTGTGGCTGCCCTGTCTGTCTGCATTTCCCCCCCTCCCCCCCGGGTCGCCTGGGGCCCAGTGTCCCGCCTCAGCAGGCTTTCCCTGGATGTGCACTTCCCTACTCTGCCGGAAGCTGTGATTGCGACTGCTTTGTGATACCCACCTAAAGACACACACACACACAACCATGCCCTGTGGTAGTTAGACAAGTGCTAGCGAGAATGGGCTTTCTGCAGTGACCTCTGCCAAGTTCAGGGGGTGCTGCCTGAAGGGGTGCTGCCTTAGGGTTTGCAGAGACTTGGGTGTCCAGCTGAAATTGCAGAACTGCTGCCACGTCGGACCTGCATCACCTAACAACACCCTCTTCTAGGAAGGGACAGGTTTGTGTGTCTGGGGACAGGTTCATGTGGGGCGGGCACTTGGCTGTCCAAGGAACTAGAATCCCCATCAGGAAGGCTCAGCGCTGGGAGACAGGCTGGGAGCAGGGCTCGGGCCTGGTCTCTGCCAGGGGGTGCTCCCCTGCATTGGGACGTGGTGGCTAGCTTCCTCACCTCTGAGAACAGACTCTCCTGTTTGTCTCACTCTTGGCTGTGACAAGACACTTGCAGACAGAGCTTTTCAGGGTCAAATGCTTCTGGGAAGCCAGGGAAATGGTTAGATGTGGTGTTCCTCGTTCTGCTTCTGTGCGGTGAAAAGTCTTCTCTCGCGGAGGTTCTGTTGGTGGGACCTGGAAGAACTCTTTCTCAGAGCTTCCAGAATCCAGCAGCAGCTAGCCCGTCCTGTTGTCTGATGAGGGCAAGCTTCTGACAGAATCTGCGGGGACAGCCTCCCAAGTGGGCACAAGTGCAGTGTGTGCCAGGGAGCTGAGCAGATGGGCATTCCGGAGGGGTCAGCTGGGACCACCCAGCAAGGGCCCTGGGGCACTGGGCTTACCCATATCTGGGGTGGATCTGACTTGGCCCCAGGACTTCCTGGAACTGCAGGTGGCCATGTGCTTTTATCAATTTGGGCAGGGGGAAGGGAGTTGTATCCCTTCTCCAAGTTTTTCCCTTTCCTTTTGTTCCTGTTTAAAGCTGGGGTTTCAGTGTGGTCTACCTGAAATTTTGGCTCAACCATTTTTGGCGAGGTGCTTCTCTGGAGAGGCTCAGTGGCCTCAGCCAAGTGTGAGGGGGGAGAACATTTTGTCGTGGGTAATGACCCTGTGGGGGAGACCCAGAGCTCACCATGCATGGTCTAATCCTCACCCTGCGAGGAAGGACCTTTCTCTCAGTCTGCAGGTACAGCAGCAGCTTGGCAGTTGACCTTTGAACCCACCTGTGACCTTCTGGACGCAAGGATGTCCATGGCACCTGCTGGGCCAGGGCCCAGGCTGTGATGTGACCGTGTCTTCTCTTACAGGCCCTGAAGCGCCAGAGCTTGCTGGGCCTCTCCTTCTTCAACAGCATCCTGGCCCATGGGGACCTGCGCAACAACAAACTGAACCAGCTCTCAGTCAACCTGTGGCACCTGGCGCAGAGGCACGGCTGTGCAGACACCAGGACCATGGTGAGACACTCAGGGGCGGGGGTTGGACTTCAACCCGTCTCCCCAGAACCCTGCAAGGCTATTTCCTAATGCTAATTTTCCCCTTTAGAAAAATCATGCAAAAACATCGGTCGGGGTCACTCCCAAATACGATTTTTTTTTTTTAAAAAAGAGATTTATTTGAAGGTTATAGAGGCAGAGAGCTCTTCAGTCCACTGGTTTACCCCTCACCCCGCCCCCCCCCATGGCTGCGACAGTCAGGAACTGGAACTCTTTCTAGGCCTCCTAGGTGGGTGTGGCAGGAGCCTAGGCTATATTCTTGATGCCTTTCACCTTAGTGGGGAACTGGGACAGAAGTAGAGCAGCTGGGGCTCCAACTTGCATTCATATGGGGTGTTGGTATTGCAGGTGCAGCTTAACTTGCCACATATCCTGATTTTATGGACAGGTTACACTTTTAGGACTGACTTCCTTTTTCTCATCCTTCAAGAGACTCCCTCCTCCTCTCGGCAGTGTGAGCGCCCTAATGGCTGCTCCTCCGTAGTAGCCTTGGGCACCCAGGACTGGAGGGCACACAGGTCTCTTATCCTTCTAGGTGAAAACCCTGGACTACATCAAGAGGCGAAGCAAACAGCCGGACATGAGCCACCTGACAGAGCTGGCCCTCAGGCTGCCCCTGCAGACCAGGACCTGACTGGGGAGCCCAGGAGGCCGGTGCTACAGGCCCAGAGACCTGAACTATTATATAAGGCCCTGGACTTCGGGGCTTTCACTTTTACATATATGCAAATTGGGCTAAGACGTGGCTTCTGCCCAGTTTTCCTGACAGTGAGGAAGTGGGGCTTGTCGCGCAATAAAGATAATCGCCCTCTCCGTCCCAGAACATCGGAGTGTTTCTTTGCATGAGTGGCCTTCGTCACCTGCAAGAGCTCCAGAGGATGGTCACGTGGGCCTTTACCGAGCCGGAAGTCCATGGATGCAGGTAAAATACCTTTCTTTTCTGGGGGTGTTTGTAGCTTCATAGCTTAGGAGAGCTTTGAAGTGCCACTGTGCCAGACCTGTTCAGTTACACTTTGTATACAAAAGGTAAGTCTAGACTGGCAGGTAAGGGGTTCGCGCACAGCTCCCTACGCTGGGACCACAGTGGGTCCGACAGGACATACGGATGCTGGGAGTGTACCGCACTGTGTCCTTGACCACTGGTGTTGTGTGACTACATCTGAATGCATGTGCCAAATTCAAACAGCACACACTTCCAGGTACTCTTCTGCCACCTGGTTCTTGTCACTTTGAATGCCTAAGAACGTTACTATCGATGGGTGGGTGATTCACAACCTAGAACCTACTATGTGTGAAACTGTATCCAAGTTGTGGGTCTGGGTTACTGCCTCCTACCCGGGGTGTTGCTCCTGCCAGCCTGTAGGAGCTCTCCTCGATCAGCTACTCCAGCTCAATTTCCAGGCTGTTTAGGTCTGGGCTGTCAGAAGGAGATATTTGAGAAATGTGATATTTTTCCAACAGGAACCTGTACTTTGGGACAGAAAAAGCTCTAAAGGATTAGAAAGTGGTTTAGCAGCACCTGGAGCCCCTGAGGTTTGCTGTGGAGTCTTGGCTGACACACTGGAATCAGGGGTCGTGCACTGCCACCTGCGGCTCCTGGAATCTGCCAGGAGTTCATTGCCCAGCTCCCCAGAGCAGAGGAAGCTCTGCCATGGCTGCTTGGGCTCTGCCTACAGCTTCTGTAAGCAAGGGAAGGGCTGAGGTCACTTGGTGTTCCCCTGACTTATCACCAGCAATCCACTTCCTGCTAGGACACAGACCTGCTGTGCTGAACTAGTCCCCACAACCACAAAGAAACTTCCGTCCTTACTTGGTGAGTATTCTGGGGACAGTCAGAGTCAGAACAGTGACCTGGGGCCTGAGGGACAGAAATACCCTCTGGCAATTTTATTCCTGAACCTTAGCCCCATCTTACAGATGGGGTGGCTAAGAAAGCAGCACCCATTTCATAATTGTGATCATCAACATAAAACACTTTGGTACGGGCCTGGCCCATGCTCAGCCCCCTCAGTAAGTCCAAGGAGGGTGGGGCCGTTGAGCAGGACAGGAGAGTGGGTCACTCACCATTTGCGTGGTTCTGGAGACCTGTGCCACCCCCACCTGATCCGTGCACACGTGGTCAGCCTTAACCCTCACAGGTCAGTGTGTGAGCGGTGCCAACTGCTGGGTGGCTTTCCTTCCCGAGACAGACTGAGCTAATAAACGCAACATGGGCTGGGCTGGGGAACTAGAGACCAGGGTTTAATCGTCCAACTTGACTGACTTGGATGCGTTCCTGTCGATGTAGAAGATTTTGTCCTGGGTGGTGGGGAAGCCGAGGCCGGCCCCCCGGCTGTGCTTCCAGCTCATGGCCCGGTCGTAGTCCCGCTGCAGACCCTGCTGCAGCTTCTCTGCTGCCTTCTTGCTGAGCGCCATGTTGGGCCTCCCGAGCATGCTAGGGGGCTGGCTCAAGGAGGGGGATGGCTTCTTAAAGCCACCCATGAGTTTGAGAAATTTCAGCTTCTGTTCCTCGCTTTCAAACCCGGCGGTATCCCACTGGCCAAACTGTGTTCCCTGTGGGAGAGAGCAGGGTCGGTTACCTTTCTAGGTTGTCCTGGCCCTGCCGGGGAGGCCAGTGATGATGGAAGTGAATGCTGAGTTCCAAGGGTCAGCACTAACCAGCTCTCACAGCGGTCATCAGACTCAGCCCTGGAACCCCAGAATCAGGGCAGGTCCCCACTGGTGCCTGTGTGCCCTGCCCTACACAACACCTCATCACTCCCCATAGCTTATCCCACCACCCCTCCCTGTACCTCACCTCCCCAGGCAGCAGCTTCTGACCAGCCACTCGGGCAGGTCTGGGTGACCCCTTCTTGCCCCAGCATGCATCCCATCTTCCAGCTCTGGAAGTGGGCTTGGAGAGGGCATGTTACCTGCCCAGGTCTGACCCCCTTGGTAGTGCCGGTGCTGGGTGGACGCTGCTCTCTAGAATCCAGAGGCAGAAAGGAGGCAAGGGCCTCTCCTCCCTCCACGTGCCAGCCTTGTTGCACACTTACCGCAGCTGCTCTCTGCTAACTGAAATGACTGTCCCTTCCTGATGGGAGTGACGCCCCACAGTCCCAGCCCAGCTCTGGGAACTTCCCTCTCATGCTTGATCTTGAAACCAGTCCTCCGAGCCTGGCCCTCTGGCAGCCTTCCATGGGCTCCAGGCGCACGTCACTGCGCAGAGCCCCTGCGTCACAACTCACCGTCCTTGTTTCTGAAGCTTCTGTCTTGCCCGACTCCCGATCGATCTCTTCTTGCAAAGCTTTTCGTCTCACCTGAGCAGAGACAGAAGGGAGATGTGCATGCTGTCTTATGAGGGTAAGGCCAAGGAAGCAGAAGGTCGTGTGGCTTCTCTGCTACCTGTCAGTCCTGAGCCTGAGTGGGAAGATGAGTTTGGCAGCCAGGGCTGGGCCAAAGCCAGGATTTTCCATTCAGGTCTCCTATGTGGGTGCAAGGATGCAAATATTTGACCCTTCCCTGAGGCCTCCCAGCTACACCTGGTCCCCAGGGCCATCTGAACTGCTAGGCCTAAACCTGCCTTTTGTATTTCAAACTGTTTCTAAAACCCATCCTGGCAGGGGGTGGGTCAGCACTGTAGTGTTAACAGGTTAAGCCGCCACCTGCAATGCCAGCATGCCATCGGCCTTGGGTCCAGCTCCCTGCTAATGCACTGGATGGCACCTATACCCACCTGGGAGACCTCAAGGAAGCTCCTGGCTCCAGTCTGGTCCACCCATGGCTATTACAGTCATTTGGAGAGCAAAGTAGGGAGAGAGATTCTATCTGCTAAATAACTCTTCTTTATTTGAAAGGCAATCTTAAACCAGAGCTACTCTGAGTGAAACCTTCCCCGAAGCCAAGTCCTGCCTTCTCCTTGCCTAGCGAGAAGACGGTGGAGTCAAGCAGAGGCTCTGTGGACCCCAGACTGCATGAAGCAGCTGTGGGGCCCTGGCCTAGTTATCCCCAGAGCAGGGTGTGGGAGAAACGGAAGCGTCCGTCCAGAGCCTACCAGAGCATCAGGCACGGCAACAGCGTGGCACAGTGGGCTAATTCCATAGGGACAATGGCTCCTGTCCCCACTACTGTTTCCTACCCAACTCTGTGTTAATGTGCCTGGGCAAGCCGTGGAAGGTGACCCAAATACAGCCTGCCACCTGGATGGGAGACCAGGGTGGAGGAGTTAGAGGTTTTGGCTTCAGCCTGTTGGCTGTGTGCTTATTTAGAGAATGAGCCTACAGAAGTAAACTGCTCCCCACATCCTCAAATCTGCCTTTCAAATAAATTCTTCAAACTAATCCCAGAAAGTTGTATCTGTAAGAGATCTGGACGTGAGAGCAGGCTCTACCTGGTCTATGTGTGCCTCGTCCGTGTTGCCCAACTTCACCAACACCACCTCCAAGTCCGTGTCTGGCTCCTGCAGAGGACAGAAGCGGGGGAGAGGGGGTGGTGGTGTGAGCATACAATGAGCAGGTGAGATCACAGTGACGTCCAGGTCAGACCCCAGACCATGGCATTTCCCCCTCCCCACCATGTCTGGCAGAGGGAGATGGGCTCAGAGGAAAGGAGACTGCCACCAGCCACCCCAGAGTCCAAGTGAGGATTCCTAACTCGGGGCCTGCTAGGCAACCTCTCTGACTGCAAGGGGACACATCACCTCACATGGTGACCCCAAGGGAGCCAGAGGCAGCCAAACTCACCCAGCTCACTCTCTGACACAGCCACCTCCGAGTCCTGCCCTCCAAGGTTCTAACTTCTGCTTCCCCACTATAGCCAGGGTAAACCCGGACCATGCCACCACAGTTCCAGGACCAGTCAGGGGACCCCCAACTCATTTGTATGAAAATCTAGCCTAGGGCTGGCATTGTGGTGTAACAGCTAAGCCCCTGCCTACGGTGCCAGCATCTTTATGAGCATTGGTTTGAGTCTTGGCTGCTCTACCTCAATCCAGCCGCTTCTAATATGCTCAGGAAGGCAGTGGAAGATGGCCTAAGTGTCTGCTACCCATGTAGAACTTCTGGCTTCAGCCTGGTCCAACAGTGTGTGTCGTGGCCATTTGGGAAGCAAACCAGTGGATAGAAATCCTCCCCCGTAACTCTGCCCTTCAAACATATTAAATAAACCTTCAGGTAAAAAACCATACAGCCTTCTCCTGGCCCCTCGTTGTCCCTGTCATGGCTCACCCAGTTCTTATCACCCAACCTTCTTCCTTCCTCCCCGGGCCTCTGGAAGGCCACAACCCCTGCAGGGTCAGCCAAGGCCCACACGGGTTCCAGCTTCCAAGCGGCATTCCCTCTGCCCCTGCCTTGGCCGTGCCCATGCCAGCCACTCTTGCTGGTCTCAGCCCCCACACCCCTTCCAGAATCAGGCTGCAGGCTGGCCACAGTCCCTGGTCTTCCCACACTTACCACCGCTGATATCCCACACGGCCCTGCACTCCCATCAGCCATCTCCGCAACCGGAACATGTGCATGTGTCTGCCAGATTTAGTGGGCTGCTCTCAACACAGAGCAACCCCGTCATGGAGATGGCAAACAAGGGGTATGCCTGTCCCCTAGGTCATGGCAGAAGAGCTGCTAGACTCGAGTGAGGGGAACCCCAGTGATGGAAGCCCAGCTCCCATCCAAGTTTCTGAAGCATGGAAAATTTGGGTACAACAAGACTAAGCAAGTGACTGGGGCAAAGCTAGGAAGAAACCCTGTGACTGAAGCCACTTCCGCTAGGCCCTAACAGGGCAGCCATCCGTGCCCTCAGCCATACAGGGTTGAGCCCAGTGCAAACCACACACACTGCGCCCCGTCTCGGTAGGGTGCAGTTCCTGGGTCAGGCATGCCGCTCTGAGGTGTCCAGCACATACCTGCCAACAGTGGACAGGGCCCCTGGCCACTTAGTACTGAGCTGGGAGGAGAACCCAGGGTGTGTCCTGTCTGCTGCACTTCCCATCCAATGGCCTGAGAAAAGCAGGGAAGATGGTCCGAGTCCTTGGGCCCCTGCACTCCCAAGGGAGACATGGGAGAAGCTCCTGGCTTTGGCCTGGCCTAGCGCCAGTTGTAGCAGACATTTGGGGAGTGAACCAGTGGATGAAAGATCTGTTTCCTTCCAACTCTGCCCCTCCACCCCGCACCACCACCTCTGCCTTTCAAATGAGTCAATTTAAAAAGAGACAGGGTTGGGGAGAGAAAGAAAAGGGCAAAACCCAAAGGGCAGAAGCCAGGCTAGCCGGATTTGAATCCCAGCGTGCCTCCTGCTGGCAGGGTACGGAATTTCCTGGAGCATGAGGACATCAGACAGTGAGGAGGGAACAGGAAAGCAGCAGCGAGTGTGGTCAGCACTATCGCATTCAAACAGTGCCCAGCACCAGCAACTGACCCGATAGGTAATTGCTGGGAGGACACATACACTGCACACACAGGAATGACAGCTTGCTCCGCCACTCCAGGGGGCCTGTCCCAAGGAAGACACTGCCATCACCAGGCCCCCACCTTCTCCTGAAAGGCGCACCCTGCCTCCTCCTCTGAAATCAGCTTGCCTGGCAGCAGACAGCAGGTTCAGCTGAGGCTGACATCCCCGGTGTCCCACACCTGGCAGGGGAGCAAGGCTTCTAGAACAATGAGAACAATGACCTAACCGGGGTCTCCAGGTCTGTGGCTTCAGAGGTGCCCCCACTGCCTCCTTAGGGAGACCTCTAGAGCCATGAGACCAGCTTGCTCTGGGGTCGAGGCGAGACCAGGACTAAAACCAAGAGAGGAAAAGCACGAAGCCCAGAGTTGAGGAGGGAATCGTTCCAGGCACCTGTGCAGTGTGCCGAGCTCAGTGAGCTCCCAGAGCTACTGGTCCCCCTTGGGATTTGAACTCTTCGGTTCCCGAGCTTCGGACAGCAGGTGACACAGCCCAGGAAGCAAGGGATTTGGCCAAAACCTGGGACCTTGTCCAGTTTCCAAGGGCAAACAGTGGAAACTCGGGGAGTTGCGGCAGCAAGAGAGCCCTGGATCACCACGACTCTATCGTGAGCCCCTGCATCCGGCCATACCTGAGGTTGGCACATCACAACCCTGCTCATGACACAGGGCCACAAACCCCTTTTCTGGCAGCAGTCAAGTCTCCTCAGGGCTCCACGTGCCCATGTGGATGCCAACATGCACCTGCCTTCCCGGTCCCACTCCAAGACTGAGCCCATTTTGGCAGAGGGATCTTTACCTCCTCGCAAAGGTCTCCGGCCCCCTCGCTCTCTTTCCGCTTCTTCTTCTTCTTTTTTGGAGCTGGCTCCTCCGTGACGGGCTGCTGCTCCACCTGCTTCTTCGACTTGCTCTTCTTCTTTACCGGGACCTTGGGGCCATCTCCTATGGGGATGTACTCTGGGGCATCGAGCAGGACCAGCTTCTTTTTGCTGCCTTTCCTAGGGCTGTTCTCCCAGGACCTGGCCGGTTGGCACTGGCCGAGAAGGTCGTCTCCCTCCTGGTGGATTTTCTTCTTCTTCTTGACCTTCGCATGATGCTCCCGGGGGCTCTCCGGCTTCCGCTTCTGAGTGAGGGCTGCCTGCTCCTCCACCGAGCACCTGAACAGTGCATCTTCCACCTCCGAGAACCACGGGTCCTGGACCGCGAAGGGGCCGAGCTCCTGCGTCTTTTTCTCCTTCTTGTGCTTTTTGGGCTTCCTGCCCAGTCTGGTTGCCTCCTCGCCCTGTTCAGGGTCTGGGGAAATCTTGACCTTTAGGCCATGGGCCACGGTCAGAGGCACCAAGGACTTCTTCCTCTTCTTCTTCTCCTCCTCCTCCTCCTCCCTGCTGAGGGGCTCCAAGTGGCTGGGTGACAGTTTCCTGGGGCTCAGGGACTTCTTCGCCCGTCGGGCCTGCAACGTGACCTCAGGGTCCAGGCGATCCTCACCCAAGGTGTGGCTCTTCTTTTTTTTCTTCTTCTTCACCAGCGGCACCTCAGCCACCTGTCCCGGAACCGTGGTCTTGGGAGGGGAGGTGGTCCTCCGTGGAGACATAGCCATGAAGTAAGCATCATGGCGTAGAGCCGAATAATCAGTCTCTGCCTCTTTAACCAGCTTCTTTTTCTTTTTCTTCTTCTTTTTCTCTGGGAACTCAAGGCCCAGGTCTATTTTGGGAGTCTTGTTGATCATCCCTACCAAAAAAAAAGATACAGGTTACCCTGGCTTCATTCCTATTAAAGCATCACCAAAAGCTAAATTTCTTTTTTTTTTTTTTTTTTAATTTTTTTTTATTTTTATTATTTTTTCATTGGAAAGGCGGATATACAGAGAGGAGAGACAGAGAGGAAGATCTTCCATCCGATGATTCACTCCCCAAGTGAGCGCAGCGGGCCGATACCATGCCGATCCGAAGCCAGGAGCCTCCTCAGGGTCTCCCACGCGGGTGCAGGTTCCCAAAGCCTTGGGCCGTCCTCGACTGCCTTCCCAGGCCACAGGCAGGGAGCTGGAAGGGAAGGGGGCTGCCGGGATTAGAACCGGCGCCCATATGGGACCCCGGGCGTGCAAGGCGAGGACCTTTAACCACTTGCGCCACCGTGCCGGGCCCAGCTAAATTTCTTTAAGACTATAATCTGAAAGGATTATAAGGAAAAAGTAAGGAGAATGGCCATAGGTCCTTTGGTGCAAAGCAAAGCCAAGACAGGAGTGTACATTCAAAGCAGTTTTAGGTTCAACTCCAAGCTGCTTTCTTCCCTAACCTTGGGAGCCAGCGTTGTGGCACACTGGGTTAAGCTGCCATCGGCAACACTGCCATCCCACATCCGAGTGCCAATTCTAATCCTAGTTGCACTGCTTCCAATCCAGCTCCCATGCCTGCTGACGGGTCTGGGAAGGCAGCAGAAGATGGCCCAAATGCTTGGGCCCCTTTCCCCCACGTGAGAGACCCAGATGGGAGTTCTGATCTCTTGGCTTAGCCCTGGTCCAGCTCCGGCCACTGTGGCCATCTGGGCAGTGCATTAGCAGAAGGAATGCCAGTCTCTCCTCTTTAAATCGAAAAAGCTACAGTGAGAGGAGAGTGCTCCTCCCTCTCCTGGTTCACTTCCCAAATGGCCACCTGCTGAAGCCAGGAGCTTCTTTCTGGTCTCCCACGTGGGTGTGGGAATCCAAGGACTTGGGCTACCCTCTGCTGCTTTCCCAGGCCATAACCAGGGAGCTAGATCAAAAGTGGAGCAGCTGGGATACAGACCAGCACACATATGGTATGCTGACATGGCAAGTGGAGGCTTGCCCTGATATGCCCTGATGCTGGCCCAATAAATAACTCTTTAAAAAAAAGATGTGGGATGATATTATGGCATAGCACAAATTAAGCCTCTGCCTGCTATGCCAGCATCCCATATGAGCACTGGTTTGAGTCCTGGCTGCTCCACTGTTGTGCCTGGGAAAGCAACTGAGGATGGCCTAACTGCTTAGGCCCCTGCACCCACATGGGGGACCCAGAAGAAGCTCCTAGCTCCTGGCTTTGCTCTGGCCCAACTCTGGTTAATGCAGCCATTTGGGGAGTGTAGTAGCAGATGAAAGATTCTATCCTTCTTTCCATCCTTTCAAGTAAAACAAGAAAAAAACAAACAAACAAAAAAGCCACCTGCTCTCCCTAAGCGTCAAGGTTCTCATCTGGAATACTGGGGGCCGGGGGCGGGGGGGGAGGAAGAGGGGAACAGGCCGCTAACAACAACTTTCTCAAAGAGGCAATGAAAACAGCAAGTGGGAAAATTCACGCAAGTATGTTGTGTGAACATTGCTGATTCCTTTGCCTAAGTCACTAAACCTCCAAGTGGGGGCCAGGCACTGAGGACACACCATCATCAGGGCAGACAGCCGAGCAGGCTGCGGCACACAGTAATCCAGGGCCAGCCCAGTTGGCTGACTCCCACCAGAGGCTCCTGCCGTAGTGATGAGCGTCGCCACCTGCACCGCGAGTGGCCCTCTGACTTGCCCTCCTGTGGGCTAACAAGAGCTGAAGGAGGTAATGGTGAGAGGCCCCAGCTGCGACCCGAGCAACTGGGGTTCTGATGGCAACCTTGACTTACTCTTGCCACACGGTCATGGCTTTTCTGGGCCTCCCTTTTCCTATCCGTCAGGAGAGAAGGAACCAGTAGCTTTCTCTAGCATCCAGCCAGCTTGCACACCTGTTTCCTGAAGTTTCAGACTGACGACCCACATGCAATGACGGGCAACACCACACAGCAACCTAGCCACTTTCCCTAGTTAAATGGGATGCAGACACCTGCCAGCGAGGACTAGAGCCCTAAGCATGCTTCAGCCACCAGCTACCAGCTCACCTCTCTCATTCATCACCAGCCTAACTTCTGCTGCTTTTCGGGCTAGGGGAACAGGGGACACTCAGGGCAGCCAAGAAACCAGACCTGCAGGCGTGTACGGTGGGTTCAGGGAAGGTTGAGGGCTTCTCCATCCTGCAGCCTCTCGGCTCCAGAGCCCTGGGGGTCCACACTGGCCCTGGTTCACTGGCAGTGTTCACAAGCCAAGTGCATTTACAAGCTACTCCAAAACCAAGGATACACATTCATCATTCACTTCTGCCCTGTCCTGTTTCCCAAAACATGAGCCCACCTCAAGGCCTGGTCGGTTATAAGGGGCTCAGTATGTACTGAAGGAACGCTAAGAGAGAAGAACCACTTTGCCTTCCACCAACAGTCTGTTGTGGGAAAATAAAAGGTATAATGGTTACGACGACACGGGCAGTATAAGCAAGAAAGCAAGGTGATGGAAGGCGTGGAACCCGCCCTACCACTCTCCTGGGAAGTTCTGAAGAACCAGGCTTTGTAGCGTGGGCAGCTGCAGGAGTTGCCGCCAATGAGTGCCTTGAGCTAGCCAAAGTCGCAAGGTTCACCGGATAGGTGGACGCGTACAGGGTCCTGAGGCTGCGGTGCTGTGTGGCCAGGGAGTTAAGAAGACACCGGTGCTAAGGAAGCTGGCCTTAGACCACACACACCTGAGACTAGGGCTCGGGGAAGCAGGGAAGCAGGTGGGCATTAACGGGGCGCTCTCGCGGGGAAGAGGCGCAATCCCGGGAGCCGAGAGCTCCTGCAGGAGGCGAGACCCCAACAAAGGCGCCGCGGGAAGGTGGGGTGCCCCCCTACAATCCCCTTCCGAGCAGCGTGGCTTTCAGCCCCGAAGCGCCCCCATGGCTCGCCTGTGAGGCTCCAAGCGGGGATTCCAACCAGGAAGCCAGTCCCCCGTACGACCTGGCCGGCCCACCGCGGCATGCGGCCAGGGCGGGCGCACACCGCCCATCCGGGAGCGGACCTCGGGGTGTGAGAACCCCGCTTTCCCCCACCGCACAGATCCCCGCTCCCCAAAGCCCGATCTGCAGCCGCCCGCCTTTCGCCAGCATCCCGGCGCCCGTACTCACCTGTCCGCCAAGGGTCTCCGCATCCACGTGAGAGTCTGCACCGCCGCGACCCGGAACTCAACTTCCACTCGCTGACTGGGCCTGGCGAAATCCAGTTCCTTCCGGGTCGCTGGCGGAAGGCGCCTGCGGTTGCTGTGGAAACGGCGTCCATGGCGGCGCTGCGACCCGTCTCCAGCCGCTGCGGCCCGCGCGAGGAGCCCGACGGCTCTGCGGACTCGACGGGCACCTCCCGGACGCCGGTGCTCACCGTGTCGTCTGTGTCGAGCGAGCCGACTGGGTCGCCGGGGCAGGTCACCGAGCCACCGGGGGGCAAAAGCCTGTGGGAACAGATCTGTGAGGGTAGGCGAGGGGGAACTGGTCGACCTGGGTGGGACCGGGGCGCCCACTGTGTGCCAGGCGGCTGACGTCGGGGGGCGGAGGGTGGGCGCTCGGCGCCCCGGGACTGTGAAGCTCGGAGCGGCTGGCTCCGGGTTGCGCCTCCTCTAACTGCGATCTATCAGCGGGGCGAAGGCGAGGGGAACGCTCCCGAAATGGGACTAGAAGTCTGTTGCGGCTCTGCTCCCTCATTTAGTGAACGGAAAAGAATGGCCGAGGCGCGCGGATAGTGGAGAGGGGGGCTCGGATCCGGCAGGTGCCGAGGCCCCACCCACAGATCTTCATGTAGGCGCAGCTGGTGGTCCGCGCCAACCGTGCCCTAGCACCCTCAAACGGAGTGTAGCTTATCTTGCTCTGTGGCCCTTCCAAAGACCTTGGTCTTGAGGGCTTATAACATTCTTCCCTTAGGCTGGCCTAGTTAGGGAATTCCTTCCCCTCTCTGTAAAATGAAACTAACAATGGCACCTGTGGCTCCCTAGGAGGGGTGGGGGGTGGAGGATGGGAGCAGCAAGGTGCCTGATAACAGTTAAGAGCTGAGAGTTCTTAATGAAGTGTGGTGGGTGGGTGGTTTCCCTCCTCAGGTCAAGGGTTGGGATTTTCATTCTGTGGCCACCTGCGCTGCCCAGCCACGGTGCTGTCCAGGCAACCTGCACCATCAGTTGAGGCCACTGGACTCTTGTAGCTATTGAACATTTGAAATGTAGTTAGTACAGTTGAGCTGGATTTTTAATATATTTAAATCACCCTTATGTGGTTAATGGCTGCTAAATTAGACAGTGCAGGTTAGTAAATGTAGAATGGAAAAGAAAATCAGTATACCAGCATACAACAGTAAGTGGAGAAAACAAAGGGAGGGAACATGGAGTGGACGCCTTAAAGGCCTCCTGTGTCAACCTCCGTCAGCTGCTTAGGTCCCTTCTCGACAACGCACTAGAAAGTCCTGCTCCATTTCAGATATTCTCACAGAACTTGCACCCGTGGGTCCCTCCCCCTTGGTGCCATGCCCAGCAGCTAAAAGAACTGAGGGCAAGGCATGGCGGCTGCCTTCTGCCCAGCGCCCTCACCTGACTAAGCCAAGCAAGTGCTTCAGAATACGATTCCCCCGGGCCGTCGTCTAGGCAGGTGCTCAGAATGAGGAGGCTGTTGGACTCACCTCACAGGGCTGGGGGGAGGACCGGATATGGTCATGGACATGAAGGAACCGGCTCAGAGGACTCAATAAATGTAGGTTTTCACCGGCAAGGAAACATGCATTGCATTTTAGAATCCAAGTTGATTTTGATCCAGCTGGCCTGTAGGAAGAAAACCCAGAGTTTTGTTGCTCTCCAAAAATTAAGTTAGCTGATGCCACTTGTAAAGGGACAAGCATTACCCAAGGAAGCCGGTGAGATCTGGAAGACCACGCAAATGGACATGTGATGCTTTCTGTAACCCAGAATAAGCCTTATTCCTCAGCAGTTCACAGATAGCCATGAGTAAATGCAGTGCTTTGCAACAAAAAGCACACCACAGGCTTCCTGGTGATTCTATCTTTGAAGTTATTAAGTGCTACATTCTAGGACCCCTCTGCGTTTAGAAAGTAAGTTACTACAGTGAGTGGCCCTGAAGGCAGCTCAGTGCCTGAGGTCTATGCACAGGGCCTGGTGTAGCACAGTGGGTTCAGCTGCCTGCTTGAGATGCCTGCCTCCCTGTTCTCCCTATCAGCCAGCTTCCTGCTCATCGTCCTGGGAGGCAGTAGACATCAGCTCAGCTGCGTGGGCCCCTGCCACCCATGTGGGAGACCCAGGTGGAGTGCTGGGCTCCTGCCTCTGCCCCGCCCAGGGCTGCCTGCTGTAAGCATTTGGAAAGTCAACTGGCAGACGGAATCAATCACTCTGTTCACCCCTGCTTCTCTCTCTCCTATTGCTTTGCCCTTCAAGCATGGGGTGAACACTTAACCTATGGCCTTCATCCTGCCTGTCTTGCATTCCTCTATGTGCCTAGGTACCTCCTTCTGCGATACTTTATTTGGGAGTAAGTTCTTCGGCTTTCCCCCATCATCTTTCCAGAGACAAGCAAGGGTTTTGTCCTCTCAGAAACACTTGTGTCAGTGAACTTCCCAGCCAAGGCTGCTAGCCAGATCATACTGAGGCCTGTGGCTTAACCTGGGTGAACTCTGGTTTTAGCCAGGCCCTCCGTCAGCTCTTGGCAATGTCCTTGCTTCCTCAGGAACTTGCTCTCACACTCACCGCTTCCACATCTTTACACGTCTTCAGCAGGATCTTCACACACCCTGATCTTTCATCTGAGGGGCAGAAGATAAAAACCCGCTTTGACTCTGTGATTCTCCAGTTCTCTTCCCTACCCAGCCAAGCTTCTGGAAAAGAACCCACAGCTCTTGTTCACAGCCCTCTCACTCCTGCTTTGTTATAGCACCCTGAAGCAGACCGACTCTGCTTCATGTCTCCGAAGAAGAGATGCTCATGCATTCAGCCAACAGGTTCCACCTGCCAGCCGAGGGAACTGCTGTAAACCTCAGGCTCGCTGTGATGGCAGGCACCCCTCCAGATCCCATCAGCGGACCCTGGGTCTCTGGAAATGCCCATATCATCCATTCCACATTCCAAATCCCACTCCCAACATGGGGATCTGTCTTATTCGCTTTCCTGTTAGCATTCTAAGATCCCTAGAGATCCCTCCTGCTTAGTATCTCTGCATCTTCCCAGTCCCAGCTCCAGCAGCTCCTCTCCTGGATAGCCTGCTCCAAAAGCCCTGGATGCAGCTCTCCATGGCAACATGCTTGGCACCTGTGGTCCCTCCCCTCACCACAACATCCATCTCTCCAGCAGCCTTGTGTAACCCCTGGCGTCAGTGCATACCTACCATGTGTTCATCAGGGAAGGGCGGTCCTCTGCAGCCCTTTCACCTTCCTGGTCCATCCTCTCTCATTAAGCCTTCTGTGGGCAAATGCCATTTTAATTGTCTTCATTAGGAACACTCTTAGCTGCAAATAACAGAAAGCTCAGCTCACATCATTCATTTCATTATCTCGAATCCCAGAACCAAGGAGGGGAAGGATTGCAGTTTTGGTCCAAGAGCATTGCTTAGCGTGGCGAAGTGCCAGGCTCTGTCTGCTCATTGCAGAGCCTCGCCTTTGCTGCATTAAATGAGCAGCCACTTTCATTTATTCCTAAATTAATCTCCATCCCTCCTGCACGTAGCATTAAATTCCCCTAATCAATGAATCCCATTTCCAAATCCATTCATTGAAAGATTGTTGAGAAAGCATGGAGGCAACGCTCAGCAATCAGAGGGCACAAATGATGGTACATCAGAATGTTTTAAAAAGCTGAGTGCTTTCCACAAATTCTCTCGAGCCTTTCGATGGAATAGCACCATTCTGTAATCAATTACATCTTTCAAATTGAAACCACGGGGGAAATTCACAAATATGCCAGAGGCTTTCTCAAACACATCAGATGGGCCTGAAGCCAAGATACACTCCCATTCTTCTATGTAAACATTCCCACTGTATCTCTTCTCTGGTTTTGTAGCAATAAAGTTTGTGTCTTTTCCACAGAATTCAAGTAAACTCCTAAGAGCTGTCCTTGAGATCAATATACAAATGGCAAATATGATGAAAGAAATGCAAATAAAGGTCAGGCATCCTTTTAAATATGTGTAGGATCAATTATATCCTAGAGACACACACGACTGTCAGGAGTACACATTATTGTTAACCTTTTGGCCCAAATTCAATTTTTGTTTCCTGTGGCAGAACGATTCTGCATCTAAGAATTCATCTTACAAACATACCTCCACCCAGATTGATGATACATGTGTATTAAAAAAAAAAAAAAAGCTCACTGTAACACTGTTTGCGATAATGAAAAGCTGGCGGCGGGTAGAGGGGAATCCACAGGACCCCACACACATTGGGTGGCACGTCATGTATGGAGCAGCACAAGATACAACATGTAGAATGTTTCCCAGCATAGCCAGGCCCTTAGTAAATATGAAGGAATGAATAAGGATTGAAAAGTAACTCTGTATACTGTTTATTTTGTTCACCCATTCATTAACTCATCCATCCACTGAGCAGGTATTCTTTAGGACTTCTAAAGGCAGGCATCAATACACCCAGATGCTTCCCTCACAAGGCAGACTACTCGCAAAGATAGCCACTAATGTTTATACATTTCAGACGAGAGGAAAACGGATACGAGGTATGAAAACAGTGACACTTAGGAAGTTTTGTGCTTGGGCAAACCTGACCTTGTCCAAAGTGTTCTAATATATTTGTATATCATATATTCTTTTTTTTTTTAAGATTTATTTTATTTTTATTGGAAAGGCGGATATACAGAGAGGAGAGACAGAGAGGAAGATCTTCCATCCGATGATTCACTCCCCAAGTGAGCGGCCGATGCTATGCCGATCCGAAGCCAGGAGCCTCTTCCGGGTCTCCTGCGCAGGTGCAGGGTCCCAAAGCTTTGGGCTGTTCTTGACTGCTTTCCCGGGCCACAGGCAGGGAGCTGGATGGGAAGTGGGGCTGCCGGGATTAGAACCGGCGCCCATATGGGATCCCGGGTATGCAAGGCGAGGACCTTAACCACTGTGCCACCACGCCGGGCCCTATATCATATATTCTTGAAGATAGACTTGTGGCAAATACCTATTAAAAAGTTATGCCTGGGTTTCCAACTTTTTCCATAAAAGAAAATTTGAAAGTTATATGTGGTATTTGAGAAAGGGAGCGAGATAAGAGGGCGTGGGAGAGAGAAGGGGCCCATCCATGGATTCATACCTTAAATGCCCACACTAGTCATAGCAGAACCAGCCTGAAGACAGGAGCTGGGCACACAATCCAAGTCTCCCACAAAGATGGCAAAGATCCAAGTACTTGACCCATCACCTGCTACCTCTTAGGTGCTCATGAGCAGGTAGCTGGAATCGGAGCAGAGCTAGCCAGGGCACTCCAACCTGGCACTTGGGTGTCTTAACCTCCAAGCCAAAGCCTGTCCCAATCTAATTCTTTAAGTTTGTTCCCTCCCTGCCCCCAAACTGTTTCCTCACACATATGTTAGTAAACATATTCAAAAACATCTTAATGGCGTTAAGACAAATCTTAACAGTTACAGGGTTGCAGTGGGAGTAGGTATGACGTTTATTCTGTGTAAGGCATCTCAAATTATTTCAGTACACACTGCCTTTGTAATCTAAGACACATCTGTAACATCTTCCACACTGGATCAGTGGCTGAGATTTAGTGGGAGAAGAAGGGGTAGGTTTAGTTTCTCGCCTGAGACGTAGAAGGGCTAAGAGCTACAGCTGGGGTTCCGGGGGGGGGGAGGCGGAGATGGCCGCTTGAGCACACAGTCCTTCAGTCACACACTAATCTAGACATTGCCGGGAATTCCCAGCTATATAAAGTCCTTCATGGGTTGACTTTAACGTGGGGAGATTATCCTAAGTGGGCCACACCGAGCCAGGCGGAGCCATGCAGGAGACTCTCCTGTGGCCTTCAGAATAGCAACAACCATGACGTCCATCGTCTGTGTGGTCTCCAGCTGTCAGTCTACAAGACGCTTGGGACTCTAGACCTGCAAATATGAGAAACTGAATCCTCAGATAAGATCACAGCCATGGGGGGAGGCGGGGAGATATGGGGATGTGTGGCACGGTGGCACAGCAAGCTAATCCTCTGCCTGTAAGCACCAGCATTCCATATAGGCACTGGTTCATGTCCTGGCCACTCCACTTCTGGTCCAGCTCCCTGCTTGTCACCTGGAAAAGCAGCGAAGTATGACTCAAGACCTCGGGACTCTGTACCCATGGGAGACCCAAAAAAGCTCCCGACTTCAGAGTGGCTCAGCTCTAGTCACTGTGGCCACTGGGGAAGTGAACCAGCAGATGGAAGATCTTTGTTTCACTTTCTCTCTGTAAATGTGCCTTTCAAATAAAAGTCTTTCTTTAAAACATCACTGCCAAGGGATAGGCCTCTGTGTTAGCCTGGTGACACCCTGAGCTATGTCCAGATTCCTGACGCAAGGGAACTGTGACTTAAGAAATCACCGATGTTGGACGCAGTGGGCCTTCCTGATTCCCAGTTTCACTTCCCATGGTCTCTATCACCTGTGGTCAACTTCTGTCTGAAAATACTGGGACAAATGCCAGGAATAAACTACTCAGGGGTTTAAAATAACTCATTACACTACATTGATATAATCATCCTATCTTAGTTATTGTTGCTACTGTATCCCTGTGCCTAATCTAAAAATTAAGCTTAAGAGATAAATATAGGGTTTCGGAAAACCATCCACAGCCTCAGTTATCTGGGGAACATCTTGGAATGCATGCCCCACAGAAAAGGGGGAACCACTGGAATTTATTACACAGCAATAGAAACTAATACAGTCGGGGCCAGCATTGTGGCACAGCGCATTAAGCTGCCACTTTTAGCACTGACATCCTATATAGACATCGGTTCAAGTCCTGGCTGCTCCACCCTGCTACTGGAAAGTCAACCAGCAGATGAAAGATCTCTGAATCTGCCTTCAAATAAATAAACACAGCTGCTATCACAAATCTGTTCATTCATAACCTGAGGATCTGACCTCGGCCTCACTCAGGATTACAGTAAGAAAGAAGCAAGCTTCCCGATCAGGAACCCAAAAATGAAATAAAGCTTTTGTTCAGAGGGCAGTGTGTTGGCTCAACTGCTAATCCTCTGCCTGCAAGCTCAGCCATCCCATATGGGTGCTGTTTCGTGTCCTGGCTGCTCCACTTCCCATCCAGCTCCCTGCTGAGGCTTGGGAAAGCAGCAGAGGACGGTCCAAAGCCTTGGGACCCTGCACCTGCATGGGAGACCCGGAAAAGTTCCTTGTTCCTGGTTTTAGACTGGCTAAGCTCCAGCTGTTGAGGCCATTTGGGAGTGAACCAACAGATAGATGCTCTTTCTGTCTCCTCTTTGTAAAAAATAAAATAAAATGTCTTTCCAATAAACAAAAACAAAAGAAAAAAACCCTTGCACCTAGTCCGCCCGTATTTTGTATGTACTACCTTGCCCAGAAACTTGACCCTTCCTAGTCCCAAAAAGATGATGCAGCTGCCTTGAGCGTGCTAACCTTTCCAGAAATACTTTTCCCCATAAACCTTTATGTCCATCACACTACAAGAGTCATCTGCAATTCAGCCACCAAAGTTAAGCTCTACGACTGTTAGAACAGCAAGCTGCATGGCCCATGCCAGGAAGCATGGAACAAGTATTTCTTCCCGCCTCCTTGCAGAGTACGAGGCGGAGCTGCCTCCCTTCCCAGAGGGATACAAAGTGAAAGCCGCAGCTCCGGTGAGTATCACCCAGGGCTTAACCTGAGTCAGAAACCTACTAGAAGGGCACAGCATCCACAGCAGCAAAGGACAGCATCACAGCGGGGAGGTGGGCAAGGGAAGGAGTGAGAGACAGAAAGACAGGCTCAGGCCCGATCCTAGCTGTGCCACTCACGGCAGCTCTAAGTGTGGTTTCACGGAGCCCAAGGTTCCACATGTCGGAGAATCCCTCATGCACGAGGCTTCAGTGTAGCCCAGAGGAGATCTGAGATGAGAAAGGCCTTAACACTGAATCCAGCACCTTGTCTGTGGACAGGGCAGTTTCAGATGGAGCTGGTCCCTGCCTGTCAGGTGGATAAGGTAAACACAGGGGCAGAAAGAAGGATGGGGGTAGCCAGGAGGCAAGGTCCTCAGGATTAAACAGGGGGAGTTTAAAACTGACAAGAAGCAGAGCTCTAGGAGAGAGCTCCGTGTGTGCCAGGACAGGTGGACCAGAGAGAAGGCAGTGCGGTCTCATCCCTTTTTCCGGCTCCTAGCCTGGCGGAGCCGTGGGAATGGTGCTGACTCCAAGGCTGTCTGCCTGTCCTGGGGCCTTCCCCTCTGGCTGCTTGATCCATCCATCCATTTCTTTGGGGAGTGTGGGCCCATCTCTCATCTACAGAAAAGAGGGCTCCTTTTCTCTGTCAGAGGTTTCCTCCTTGAGTGTCATCTACAGATATCTGGGATGGGCTCGAGGGTGCCCCGCCCCTGGAGTTTAAGGTCAGTGGTAAAAGCACAGCCCTTTGCCAGGCTTCACAAAGCAACACAGGGATTCAGTTTGGCTACCTGCCCCTCCTGTTCACCCTCAGGCTCTGCCCACGGAGGAGGCGGTGGTCCACGGCTTCCATGCAGAGCACTACCTCCCAGCTCCACCTGCCGCCGTGACTTCACATATACCCTGCCCTCCATATAAGCTGGGAGTTGTCGATCCAAAAACATGTAAGTGATGAGGTGAGCTTCCATCTCTTACAGTTTGGGAGCTTGGAACACTGCAAAACCCACAGGGTGAGAGAGGGGACGGATACATGCACCTCAGGGAAACCACATCGATCCAAAAGAATAAGCCCCAGTTTTCATTTCAAAGACAAGTATCCTTTATCCCACTGATCTATGTTCAGGGCTAAAATGCAATGAAGAGATGGGTATCTGGTAGAGCGGCTAACTTCCCGCTTCATAAGCCTGCCTCCCATAGCAGAATGCTTGTTTTGATTCCCACCTCCTTCTCTGCCAACCTGGTTTCCTGGGAGACAGCGGTTGATGATCCAAGTGCTTGGGTGCCTGCCACGCGCCCCTCCCCTCCCCCCATGGAGTTCCAGGCTCCTGGCTTTGGCTTGGTCCCACCCTGGCTGTTGTGAGTGCCTGGGGAGTGAACCAGCAGGTGAAGACTCTCTCCCTTTCTTTCTCTGCCATTCAAATGAAGACGATTTTAATGTAATGAAGATAACGCCAACAGGCATCGTTTGACTTTCCTTTACATACCAAGGGGTGGGTGAGAGAGGCATGAAGATGTGTAGAATGAAGGAGCAAATATCACTTTGCCTTTCTCCCCGTGTAGACACTGCTGGTGCTATCTACAGATCTGCCACCCTGACCCCAGTGCCATGGGGCTGTCCTCCAACCAGACCCCCTCCGGGGCTGTGTTCTGGGCTCTCTGCTGGAAGGCCCTGGTCCTTGGCTGACTGTGGCTGCTGTTACACAGGCTACAGGCCATGTCCATTTCATTCCCCCACCTGTTACCCTTGGGCATCTCTCCCCTCCCGCCTTGCTCCTGTTGCCTTGGGGCTGTAACCAACTGGAGGCTTGGCTTTGGGTGGGGCCTGGCCCACATCCCTGCCAGCTGCAGAGCTCATAGGGACGTTTCAAGATTCGTTCTTAAAAAAAAAAAAAATAATTTATTAATGCTAAAGGCAGAGAAAGAGACAGACACACCCACACAGAGATCTTCAATGCACTGTCAAATGCCTGCCACAGCCCTGGCTGGGAACCTGATCCCCTGGGACCCGGTCACCTGGGCCATCACTGCTGCATCCCAGGGTACGCATCAACAGAAAACTGGACTTAGGAGTGGAGCCAGGGCTCAATCCCAGGTTCTTGGACAAGGGATGCGGGGGTTCCCAAGCAGTATGCCGGTCACTGCACCAAATGCCTGCCTCTTTGGTTTCTTTACTAATTCACCCTAAGTCTGCCATCTAAGTCTGCCAACCGTAAGACTTAGTTACTGAACACACAGCACCTTCTGAGCTCAGAGGGAAATCCCAGGGTAACATGGGCCATTTCGAATCTGCAGAGGGATTTTTTGTTTTGTTTTAGGTTCCCCCAAAGAATATTTAGAAACATTCATCTTTCCAGTTCTGCTTCCTGGAATGGCCAGCCTACTTCACCAGGCAAAGAAAGAAAAATGCTTCGAGGTCAGTTGTTGTTCGGCATGGTTTTCTTCTTTGTAAACTCTTGGTCACTCTGCTGTCTCGATGCTGTTGGGTTACCAATTCTCAGAATGAGCTTTCTGGGCAGGAAAGCCTGTGATTTGGGGCACTCAGCCAGGCCCAGCCGTGCAGTTAGAAGCACATGCACTCTGCCTGGCCACGTGGGTATCCTGTCCTGCTCGGCATCCCTGCCCACCGTCCTCCTGTGTGATTTGGCAACAAGAAGACTTCTTGGGTCGTTTGTCCATGGTTGCGACATGCACTGATGGAAGCTCTCCCAACCTCATTTTTCTCTCTGGGTTGATGTCCCTTCTCTCAGCTTTCCCTGCTGTATCTCATGCCAACTATTCCATGTGGAACTTGCTCTGGGAGAAGCCTGGTGCTCACCAAGTGCACCCAGGATCTGGGGGATCTCCTTACCCCACAGCCAGTTGTTTGTATGAACCAAGTTCTAATCCCAGCACACCCGATAGAGAGCTTGAGAGAATTTGGGGGTTACAGTCAAAGCCCAATTTTGAATTTTAGTGCTTCGGATGAGCCACAGGAAAAGAGTGATAAAAAGTATTTACTCTTGAGCAAACACTTGCTTTCTGTAGGCACTTGGTTTTATCATCCATTATTTCAGTTAGCCCTTATAGCATCCTTCTGCAATCCTGTTTAAAATCTTTTTTTGCTATTTTTATGTGAAAGGCAGAGAGAGACAAACAGAGACTTCCATGCACTGGCTCACACTCCAAATGCCTGCACAGCCAGCGTGTGGTGACAGGGACTCAAGTACTTGAGCCATCACTGTAGCTCCTGTGGGGTGCAGATTAGCAGAGCTGGGACTTGAACCCTCCCCGCTCTGTCCCTTCTCTCTATTGTTACCATCTAGCATTCTGCAGGTAAGAATACAGAGGGGCGAGGGATGAGAGACACGATCAAGGGTGAATGGCAGAGCTAGGACCTGAATGCAGATTAAACCATCAGTCATCATTAAATTAGTCTAGCATGATGGCTCAATTAGCTAATCCTCTGCCTGCAAGAGCAGGCATCCCATATGGGTGCTAGTTCATGTCATGGCTGCTCCACATTCCATCTAGCTCCACTTCCCATCCAGCTCCCTGCCTATGGCCTGGGAAAGCAGTGGAGGATGGCCCAAAGCCTTGGGACCCTGCACCCAAGTGGGAGACCTGGAAGAAGCTCCTGGGCTTCGGATTGGCTCAGCTCCAGCTATTGCGGCCATTTGGGGAGTGAACCAGTGGATGGAAAAGCACTCTCTCGCATGCACTCTCTCTCTCTCTCCTTCTCTCTGTACAACTGCCCTTCTGATAGAAATAAATACATCTTTAAAGAAAACCGTCACTTGTGGTCAAGCAGCCCTTATTTCAGCTCAAGGCCCTGTGGGTTTGCTGCATCCTGGGCTCTGTGGGAACAATCAGTGTTCACAGCCTTCCCTTGGTGTTTCTCCTTCAAGCAGCACAGGGCCCCTGTCCCAGAGGAACCCTCACTTCTCAGATGGCTTTTTTTTTTTTTTTTTTTTTTTTTTGGCATAAAGGAGGAGACAGAGTTCTCACATGTTGTAATGAAGACTCGGGTTTTCTTAGCAGGCCTTGACCTTGAGCTGCCCCTTGTGCCTCTTTATCCTGCCGTGCTGTTTTTCTTGCCCCTAAGGCCCTGTCCCTAGATACACTCAGCACAGCATTCCCTTCCAACAGACCTCACTATGCCAGTTCTGGCTTGAGTTGAGGCAGAAATGGATGGTGAGACACCAGTTAACTCACTGGTCACACACCCAGGAAGCCAGAAATGGAGGTGCACACTGGGTTTGCAGTACCCCAGGGGCCACCACAAATGCCCATAGCACTAAGCCCTGAAGCTGACTTTCCAAAGCCTCTGGTCTACCCCGTGGAGCTGTCCTCCCACCCCGCTGAATCACTGGTGCAGCCTGGGTGAGGTTCCCCGTCAGCCTCCCCCGCCCACAGCTGTGCACACAGAGCTGGGCTCTTCTCTGCACATTCCAGGTCCACTTGTCTTTCCGATCTTGGTTCTGACAACTCCCTTTGGCTCCCAGTTCTCCTGCCAGGCCCAAACCACAAACACTTGATCCCATCTCTCAGATCTTGGAGAGTTTCCTCTGGTCCTCTTTTCACAGCAAATTAAGATATCCTTTACAAAGATGCTCTTAGCCCATATAGACTTACGCACCCTTACAACTCAGAGAGGGTGAGCATTCCTCAAGGTCACCCAGGTAGCAGACACCAGAGCACAACCTTGACCGCAGCTCACACGCTCTTGAAGCCTGGGCTTTCATCCCGTCCACTGCAGGGCAGGGAAGGTGGAGGCTGCCCCCCAAGCAGCTCCTGGAGATACTGGGCATTTCCCATTCATAACTTTGTTTCTGGAGAACAGACGGTTACTTTCCTTAGGTGATGAAATCTACACTGCTTCTAGTTCATTTGTTTTTCCTTTCACCTATTTGGCGCCCCTGACCACCTCATTCTGCACCACTCTTGCTCACTGACCTTCCTCCTGCCTCTGCATGGGGTCAGACAGGTGCTAGGTGTGGCCCCCGGGGGAAGCAGTGCGAGGCTGGAGGACTTGGAGAGAGCAGGCCTCACGCCAGCACTGCCACTGTCAGAAGGTGCTGTGTCTGACCGGCTGCAGGTCCTGCTGCTGAGGGAGACCAGACCCTCACTGGGGTCACAGGGACTATATCAGACTCTCAGATGCTGCTGTTGCTAGGGTATGTTTAGGATGTTGTGCCTTTTGTAAAACCGAACAAAAGAGAGATAGGATGAGAACAAAGGAATCATCTTAGTGTGCATAGGTGAAATTACTGAAGTTTAGTTTTGTTCAACAAGCATCTATTCGGCTCTGCTCTATACCATTTGTGAGGCCAGGCCTTGGGGACACAGAGAAAACTAGACATGGCCTTGAACTTCAGACAACCATAGACTGATAATAATGCCTTTGGTAGATGAAGGGATAATGATAAGCTAACAGTTTTTTCTTAAAAAAAATCCTGTCCTATGGGACATTTCTTTGTATCTCTGAGACAAGAATGGATGAAGTGAAATGTGAAAAGTGGATCTGATGCTGGATATTCATTGCTAATCCATGATGCAACCTTTAGTCCAACTTGTTGAGCTGTTATTCTTTTAATGTATATGCCTTTGGAAGGCACGAAAATCAGCTAAAAGAGCAGTAGTTAAGGTTTTATATTGAAGGCTGCCTATCTAATATTTGCTCATGAATAATTTTATAATGAGGAGGATAGACACAGTTCCCAGCCTCCAGGCAATGATAAAACATTCCTAAACAATAAGAAATTTCTATTTGCATTTGAAGTTAATGAAGCATCCTTATGCCGACTCATATTTCATCTTTGGCATCCCACAGCTGAACTGCTGCCGAGGATAAATGAAATCAGCCTAAACATCAAACTCTGCAGGGGGCTTCAATGGAGCCTTCAAGTTGAGATTGTTTCAAGAAATGACCAGAGGTAGAAAATCGGGGTTCTTAAAACTTGCAAGAATTGGTTGCATGTCCAACCCATAACAGTGAGAGAGAGACAGAGAAAAAGAGAGAGAGAGACAAAGACAGAGAGTGAGAAGGTATGTCTGATAATGCAAATGAGGCAATTTGGTGGGTGGGTGGGGGCTTCAAAGTTTGTGGGAAATTCACAGTATCATTATTTTTAAATGTTTATTTACTTGAGGGCCCAGTACTATGATGTAGTAGATTAAGCCTCAGCCTGAGGTAATAACATCCCATCTGAGCACTGGTTTGTGTCCCGGCTACTCCACTTTCAGTCCAGCTCCCTGCTTATGCCCTGGGAAAGCAGTGGAAGATAGACCAAGTTTTTGGACCCTTGCACCCATGTGGGAGACCCGGAGGAAGCTCTCTGGATATCATCATCTCTCTGTGACCTTGCCTTTTAAATAAAAAATAAATCTTTAAAAAATATTTATTTACTCCAGGGGACAGAGGGAAGGAGGGAGGGAGAAAGGAGGTTCAGTGAGCAAGAGAGGGAGAGAAAGAGCGAGGCCATTACTGCATCACTTCACATACTTAGCATTGCTGGAGAAGAGCCACCCATGACTAAAGCCGAGAGCAGGAACAGAATCCAGGCCTGCTCTGCGAGTGGCAGAAGTTCAGCTGCCTGCTGCCTGCCAGAGATTCTGCCAGCAGGGAGCTGAAGTCAGGAGCCAGGGCTAGGGAGCAAATGCAGGTATGCTAATATGGGGCCTGGGCATCTTAGCTGCTAGTCTGTCCAATTCTGTATTTCCACAAACTCCAAATCAGGAAAACTGCACTTCCAGGCAGGGTCTGTCCCCGCAACAAGCTGTGTGAACCTGATGACTTCCATGTCAAGTACCTGATCATGCAAGTTTATTTATATATAATAAAGATTTTTATATCTGTCATTTTAAATTCCCATTACAGACTATCTAAATCCTAATCAATTAGTTCTTCTTTAAATCTTTATAGTATTCATAACAAAAGCAATATTTCCCCATTCTTCAAGTTTTGAAAGAGATTATACAGTCCTGAGCAAAAAATCTGAAGTCTGTGATCTCCCTGCATTAACTCAGCCTTAGAATTAGATCAAGACCCAGTCCCTTCTGTGAGCTGAATCCGACCAATGAAACAGGCTCATTTAACCATTTCCCAGATGTTCTTTCTCAACCATACATGCCAAGGCTCACAGAGGAAGATTTCAGGGACATCTTTATAGCATCCCAGAACACGCCATAGATAATGTCAAATGGGCCTCCTAGTTTTGCCTGTGAAATCAGCCACGTGCCCACAGTGTTTTGCATTGTGTCAGACACATTTAAAATTTACTGTGTCTACACAGCTGGTAGAAGTGGCCTGTGGGTGGGCCAACCATAGAGCTTGTTCAGACACTGCCTGGGTGTCTCCTAACTCACACAGCACATGAAGATCAAGCTGGAGGCAACAGCATCAGAATCTACTACCCAACAAATAACAGCATCATG